GTTGTCCTTTACTTGGGATGCCATCCTCAGCTCCATGGTAGCTTTGGCCTGTCTAACTGCCTCCCTACAAGCACGAGCAGAGGAGGTATATTTGTCTTTGGTGATTTCTCCCTGTTTCCACTTTTTATGTGCTCCCCTTTTGGCCCTTAGGCTGCCCTGGATTTCTCTGGTCAGCCAGGGAAGCCTCCTGGCCCCTTTCCCTCTTTTCCCTTGCATCGGGATCGTCTTGCTTTGTGCCCGAAGGATCATTTCCTTAAGGCACAGCCACCCTTCTTGGGCTCCCATCACTTCAAAACTCCTACTCTGCAGTGCATCTTTGACTAATCGTCTGAGTTCATTGAAATCAGCTTTCCTAAAGTCTAGCACTTTCACCATACTAGTTACCTTACTCATTCGACGTTTTATAAAGAATTCTATTATCAGGTGATCACTGTCCCCCAGATGGCTATCGATCTGTAGGTCCCCTACCATGTCATCCCCCGTTGCCAATACCAGATCCAGTATGGCATTCCCCCTAGTGGGACCATGTACCTCTTGTGTCAGGTGGAGGTCCTGTACACAGGTTAGAAACCTGTGTGAACGGTGGGACTTTGCCGTCTGCGTCTCCCAGCAGATGTCTGAGTAGTTTAGGTCCCCCATGACTACCGCCTCTTTAGCTTTTATGGTCAAATTAACACCCCCCCATTTGTTTCTGCCCTGAAAACTTGATCAGTTGTAGGTCAGTATTAGTGGACTATCACCACTTTTACTCAGAAAATCAAACCCCCTTGTTATTTTGGTCCTTAAAATTGCTGACCCATTATCAGTTTCACTTCCAAAATGGACCATCATTCATTAATTTCTGCCATTAAGCATGATCTGTTCCCCTTCCTCCTCCCCTCTCCCAAATGGACATCTAGAGAGATTGATTGACCCTTCATCCAGTTCTGCTGTGAAAGATAAATTCTGTGCCCAAACAAGCCACTGTCTTTCCCATGACATTTTTTTGGCCCCACACAGTGGATGACCTGATTCCCTCTTTGAGTTTCAGCTCCACTGTGTGCGCAACTCCTCATCAGTGTTTCTTCCTGTAATATAAGACAACGCTTCAGTTCTGGCCCCCAGAATTGGTGACCTGTCCTTTATTTCTACACTGAATACGCACTAGTTTTATCTATTTTGTTCCTTAAAAAGATAACCACCATAAGTCTTACCTCTGAAATCTTTCCAATTTTGATACTGAAGTTGTTGGTAAATTGTCAGTGTCACCCCTGAAACTAATGACAGGTTACCATTGACACCTCTGAAATTGATGAGCGTTTTCAGTTTCTGTCCTGCAATCTCATCTGTTTTGCCCCTGAAAGTGGCAGCTATTTGCCAGTGTTGCCCTAGAAATTGATGACCCTTCCTCAGTTTCTGTCTTGAAATTTCATGTTTCACTGCTGAAATTGATGACCCCTCACAAGCTTTCCCCTTGAAAGAGACAGGCCATTGTCAGTTTCAGCCCTGAAATTTACAACCCTTTTCAGTTTCCACCTTAAAAATCTCATTAATTGTTGCCCCTGTGAAATTAGTGACCCATCAGTGGATCCTGACACTAATTCTTGTCAGTTTGTCCTTAACATTGATGAACTCTTGTGAAGGTGAAATTTACCCCTAAACTGACAGGCCTTTGTTAGTTTCTTTGCCTGAACTCCTGTCCCTTTTGCCCCTGAAATTGGTAACCCTTTATCAGTTTTTTGTTCCAAAATCTACCCAGTCTTGCCTCCAAGTTATACAGAACTGTAATCAGTTTTTCTCTCAGAATTGAAGAATCTCCTCAGTTTCACTGCCAAAGTGCATCAGCATCTACCCTGGAAATTGACAGGCCCCTTCCAGGTTTCACCCCAGGTTTCATGACCTATCAGTCTGTGCCCTGAAATCAATGATCTATCATCAGTTTCTAACTTAAAATTTACCCACTTTTAGCCTGAAATTGGTGACACTTTGCTAGGTTTGCCCCACAATATCAACAGTTTCTGCCTCTGAATTTTACAAGCTTTTAACAGTTTTTCACTCTGAAACCTCTTTGGTTTCATTAGCCAAATTCCCTGGAGAAACTTGTCAGTTTCAGCCCCCCAAATTGATGAGCCTCTGTTGTTTTCATTTACAAAATGACAATTTTAAAACTATTTAAGCCCTGAAGTCTTTGTCAGTTTTGTCCAGTTCTACCTGTTTTGATGATGCTTTTGATCTCTCAGCAGTTCTGGTCTTGAAATTCACAATATCTTGTCAGTTTCATTCCTAAAATCCCTCATTGGTCATTATTTTCATTCCTTAAATTGACAGTTTCTTCAGGTTTACTTTTGAAATTACTGGTTTCAGATATTCCATCTGGTCCATTTTTCCCATGGATCGCATCAGTTTCTGTTCCCGAACTGACCATTTCTCATCTGTTTTGTCTGTAAATATTTTCCATTTCAGCTTTAAAAATCAATTCTCTCTCTAATCTGTTTTGGCCTTAAAATCAACTTTCACTAAAATTTGTAATAGTGGCTGTTCTAGCCCTAATGGATAATCCCACATTACACTGCTAATATGAACTGCTAAATTTGGAAAGTTTTACTCTTCCCCTCTCTCTTATCAGGCAAATAGCTTGTGCAACGCACAATAAATAGTTGTAGATGGAGAATGGGGTATGGGCATAGGAAGGAATCACTGGGGAGGAGGAGATGAAGATTTTAAAACCTTCTCAGCCTTAGGTTTTGAGAGCCAAAAATTGGGCTTGTCACAGAAAGCCTGAAAACAAAAAGATAAAATAGCCCAGTTTCTGGCAGAGTTTTTTTGACGTCCAAATTGCTAGCCCAGTGAGTGATCACTGCTAAATTGAAAAAATGTCCACTGCCATACCAGCCCTCTGCTTTTTTATTCTGCACATTCCCAGAAATGGCTGCTTCCATCTTGGATCAAGAAGTCATACATTTATCAGCAAGTATAAACGTTCTTCTGTTTGCTAATGGCAACTAAAAATATTTAAAAGCCGTGGAATTCAAAAAGAACCTTGACATCAGCACTGTCTGCACCCTTCTACTTTTTTTTTTCTCCCCTTACAGTGATGTTTTCAGTCAGTATGCCAAGTTCCATCCATGCAGATTTTGAGGATTTTTGTGAAGTACTGTTCCTGATTTAAACTTTCTGGAATTGCTTTATTTTTAAGCTGCCACCGATCACTGGGATGCATGCATGTAGGAAGAAACAAGCAGTATCTCTTGTTCCTGCCATACTCAGCCAGAGGTGTCAGTTTGGTGCATATGATTCATTACTGTTGTATCAGTTTTGGCATCACTGAGTGAAGCAGTGGAAGGCAGGAGGCTGGTTACAGAAAAGGAAACTTCAGTTTGCAAATATTGTAATACCTTCATTATTTCTAATGAATAATAAACTTAAGGATGCGTGCAGGGTTGTTTAATGGTGTCCAAATGAAATATTTCTCCAAAAATTGCCTGCATGGTGTTGATACTTATAGCATCTCCTTTGGGTGTTCCTGCCCAATGCAGCACAAGTACTGCGGGATGCTTGTGACATGGAATAGTGTCTCTTCCCTTCCTTGGTTTTTCAGTGGCCCAGTGCTGCTACTCAGTAAGCTGACTTTTGACAGAAACATGTTGGCACTCACACTATGCACCCTACAGTTGCAACTGCATCAGTGCACTCTGGAACCAAATATGAGCCAGCAGTGTGCCCTTGTTACGAAGGAAGCACTAACAGCATACTGGGCTGCATTGGTAGGAGTGTTTCCAGCAGATCAAGGGAAGTGATTATTCCCCTCTATTCAGCAGTGGTGAGGCCACATCTGGAGTACTGCTTCCAGTGCTGGGATCCCCACTACAGAAAGGATGTGGACAAATTGGAGAGTCCAGCGGAGGGCAATGAAAATGATTCGGGGGCAGGGGCACATGACAGGATGAGAGAATGAGGAAACTGGGCTTATTTAGTCTGCAGAGTAGAAGACTGAGGGAATTTAATAGTTGCTTTAAACTACCAGAAGGAGAGTTCAAAGAGGATGGAGCTGGACTGTTCTTATTGGTGGCAGATGTCAGAACAAGGAGCAATAGTCTCAAAATGCAACAAGGGAAGTTTAGGGTAGATATTAGGAAAATCTTTCTCACAAGGAGGGTAATAAAACACTGGAACAGGTTACCCAAAGAGGTGGTAGAATCTCTGTCCTTGGAGGTTTTTAAGACCCGGGTAGACAAAACTTTGGCTGGGATGATCTTGTTGGGGCTGGTCCTGCTTTGAGCGGGGGGCTGGACTAGATGACCTCCTGAGGTCCCTTCCAAACCTCATTTTCTATGATTCTGTAATTCTATGATACTGCAGTGCTTATTCCACAGTACTTAGCACCATTACTGGGAAACAAAAACTTTGGGGCTATTTTGAAATATTGAAGCTCACTGGTCCATCTGGATGTGTTTGGAAGAGCATCCCAGGCAGAACAACCAGCTGAGGCATCCAGTTCTAGTAAATTGCCTAGGGTAGTTGTGGTATTGGCACCATATAGCAACCTCTGGGTTCTAATCAAGTTTGTGGTGATGCCTTTTCCACGTATGATAGATAGGATTGGAAAACTGAAGTACTTTTCTGCACTGTGTTGTTTCTAAGACTGCTTTCATTCTTTGTAGAGTTAGCTCTGATTGCTGAACTGCTGTCATTGAATTTTTCTCTAGGCATAAAAGATTTACTTTTAAAGGAGTAAGAAATACACAATACATTAACTGACTTTAACAGATAGAAGCATTGGGGTTGTGTGGGAGGGAATTAATGTAGGTCAGCTCCTGTGTCTTGCCCACCTTGAACATATTGCTTTAAATTCTGTCTTGTTATTTTATGTACTTTTTAAAAAAAATCAGTGAATTGCAGAATTGGCTGTGGTTTTCTTTATAGGGTTGTTAGTATGATAATCTCACCTGCCATCCACCCCCTCTTGTTTTTGTGATTAGGAAATTGTACATATTATATAACGTGTCTGTTTTGTGTTCCAGTTGTACATGTATCAGCTGTTCCGGAGTTTAGCCTATATCCATTCCTTTGGAATCTGCCATCGGGATATAAAACCACAGAACCTCTTGCTGGACCCTGATACAGCTGTTCTAAAACTCTGTGACTTTGGAAGGTAAATTTGTCTTTTCATGTTCCAAATGTGTTTAAAATTATCTTCCAAAACTTTGTAATCTCTTTTTTTACCTATTATATAAATAATTTACAGAGGAAAAAGTATTGCAAGAAGTTTCAGAAAGTAGTGGACTTCACAAGACCCAAAACCTGGGAATTGTGCAGATATAGGAAAAAAAAATTGCATTTGTATATGAAAACCAGTGAAGCTAGAGAAGAACAGGTAGGGACAGATTTGATTACTGGGTGATGGTTGGTATAGTATAGTGCTATAAAGTAACCTCTGGATCTGTCTCATTTGCACATGTGTATACCAGCCCCCATAAAATGTTGATGCCTCAGCAGAAGACATAGGCAGACAAGGTTCCTTGGGTGAATTTGATATCTTTTATTAGACCAACCCAAATAGTTGGAGAATAGTTATTAAGCAAGCTTTCGGGTTCAAAAACCCTTTGTCAGGCTAAGGAAGACAGGAGTTTATCAAACATTTTTGTGGTAGATATCTAAATCCATATCTATCATGGCACATGGTTTTCTTTATCTGTGGGGCAGAACTATCACTGGGTGCCTTGTATCAGTTAAAAAGCTAACCAGCCATTTCTTGACTCAAGCAATATTGTTTAACATAGCAATTCTGAAAATCAAAGCAGGATCAGGAAGCTGCTTCCTTTCTGGTGGAGTCCTTTCCTGAAAACGCCCTAGAACTTTAGATGACCAAATAAGTTGGAGGATGTTGTGAGAGGTCACCAAAGTGGCTGTCAGGAAAGTAGGTTGACCATAGTACGCTGGAATGTCAGAAGGTGATTCAGGCAGACAAGGTTTCTTGGGTGAATTTGATATCTTTTATTAGACCAACCCAAATGGTTGGAGAATAGTTATTAAGCAAGCTTTCGAGTTCAAAAACCCTTCGTCAGGCTAAAGAAGTTTCAGCAGTTGGTGTGTGCTCTTCCTGGATGGAATGAAAAGTAAACACCCTGCAAGAAGGTGATCCATACCTTTTACATTTGGCATTCAAGAATCCTCTGCATTTGGAACAGGAAACTTAAAATAAAGCAAATGACTCTACAATTTGAAATAAGAGTTAAGTTAATACGAAAAAGCAATTTGAATGTAAACTTTTAACTGATCTTTAGTTCTGTTTGATGCCAGTGGGAACATTTAAGGATTCTAGATAAAGTAAATGTGGAGGTGAGGAGACCCAAAAATGCTGGGAATGGGATACTTGTCAGTGTAGTTGAGCAAGAAATTTGTTTGTTTCCATAGTGCCAGGTCACCAGCTCTTGATTCTGCAGTGCTTTTTAATGATGACAATCCAACCCGAAAAGGTTATTCATGTAGAAGTTCATAAGACATGAACTTCTCTTTAAAAGATAACAATATGTGATTCTAACTCCAAAGCAGAAAACAACGGTGAACGTCAAGGCAAATCTAGGGAAATGCTGTTTTAAAAATTAAAGTTATCCAGTCTGTTTATTGGACCCTACCCAAAACTAACCAATAATTGTCATTTAAAAGCAAAATACTCTAGAACCATGCAGGTAAAGTCAACACATTGGTTCTGGGCTAACAGACAACCCTGAAGTGGATGCTAGCCCAAGATTAACTGTGAGAAGTGTTCATACAGCAAGAAGTTTCTCAAAGAGACATGAAACAATCAGTACAGGGAGAACTGCGGGATAGGTTGGCAGGAGAAAGAAAATACAAAAAAGTCAAAACTCTAGAATGCCATCCATGACAAGTGTGAGCAAATGTGTTCACTGTTCAGTGAAATGTAAAACTTAATGTTTCAGACTGCACTGAAATCCATTTTCAGGAGATAAAGTTTCTACATACAAAATTATTTCAAAGCCCCGTTATCTCAAAATATAAATGTTTGGTCTGATCCATGTAAGGATGCTTATGGAGACACCACGTCAGTAAATACTAGTTTGGTATACTGCCATGTGAGATGATCCATTTTTGGATATGAGTTTGTCTCACTACTGCTTGGTTTGACCTATGGTTGTGCTGTGCGCAAAAATGCTGGAGACAGTTCAGCTGTGTTCATTTGTTATCAGAGATGTGAGTTTTCTGGAAAATTTTGAATTGGAAAAATTTCCTATGCTCTAAATCAAGTGTGATCTGACTTATTTGACTTATATTTAGTAAACAAAACTAAAAAGTACCCCCACGTTAATTGTATGTCCCAATAGCCACAGGTATTTGAACTAAAATATTTGATTAGGAAAAGAATTAAATACACTTAATGTGGTTTAAATGTTATAGTCAAACCAATTCAAAGCTTTATGTGGAAAGAAATTATTTTTATTGGAATACTTGTAAAAATATAAAGACAGTACACAATAGCATGTACTTTCCTTACATTGTTTGTTTAAATTTAAGAAAAAAAACCAAAGGCACTGAAAACTGTTCACACACACATCATGCACACCCAAAGAACTCTACATGATATGCCATGGTTGCCTACTCATCTACTTCAACAGAGTTTAACTCTGTTCCACTGAGGTCATCGTGGCACCTCCAGTTTCACTGTCACTATCTGTAGAATCATTTGCACTACTTATTAGTTCCATTTCAGAATTAGATTGAGGCAAATTGTTACTAATTGATTTTATGAAACAGTGACTTTTTACAAATAGAAAACTTCCCATGGAAAAACAAAACATCTCTGTTTGTAATTGGTTCAGATGTGTGTTATAAATGATCTAAAATGTTGTCTTGCAAGTATTCAAACAGCAACTTCACTTCCTTACCCATTAAAATCTTACCGAGCTGTATAAGCTGACGTAGCAAGTATAATATACAGTAGGTGTGTTCATCTTCTCACATTGTAGTTGAACCTTCCTGAATTCCTTTTGGTTTGCTTTGGTGGGGATGGTTTCCCCAGGTGACAGCTGCCCCCGCTGAGGCAGTTCTGTAGAAGATTGAGACCCCATTCTAGCAGGCATTGTGCCGTGTAGGCTGAGCGCTAGTGCAGAATTCTGTTTCCTTTTGTGCATGTACATGGCAACTTTCTAGCCACATAAGTAGCGCTTTTGGCACTTATGCACAGGTAGCGACTCTGTCCTATGGATGTGTAAATGCATGAGCATATACTTCAGAGGAGAGGAATTTTGTGTTTCATCCCAAATATCATTCATCCTGCAATGCCAGACTTGCATGCCGTAATGCACAATGTTTGGGAAGGGGCATAAAATTCCTCTGGTCCCAATCATGCAATGTCTGGGATCAACATGAAGCCTAGGGCTGTCCCCTGCCTGATCCTGGGTATTGGGAAGGGATGGCTTTGTCCTGGACTTGTCCCTAGTCCAGCCCTGTGAATGGGGAAGGTGGTGTGGGGAGGGCTATGTCCTTGCCTCGGATCAAGTTGGGGGAGGCCCCAAGTCTCCATCTGGGCCCCAGGGCAGCTCTGGATCTGTGGCAAATGCTACACATTCAGTTTAAGGCGCAGTACACACCAGGCACAAAAATATTCTACATTAAATATGGAGCATCTTTGTGTGTGGCTTGCCATTTTATTAGGCCATCAGTTGCTGAACATGTGGCACTTTCATATTATATTACAATTTATGCGCATGTAGTTTTGTGTTCACGATGTAGAGGCAGAGCCAAAAACACCCTGGTACACAGCTAGAAAACTGCCATTTAGGCATACACAGGTAAATAGAATTCCACCCTTAATGCTAAAAAGGGCAGAGCCCAGCCAGGTGCCTACTCTCACCAAGCACCTTTCTTTCTCACCATATCCCTCTTATTGTGTATCAGGCCTTCTGAAGTGGTATAGAAACAGAGGGATTCTGGTATGAGAGTAAATAAAGGAGGTATTTGGGTTTTGTTTAGTGAGGAGAAGGAGCTTTTAAAAACTAAAACAGAGACATTTGAAGGATTCATGTCTACCTTCCCTTTTACCTTCTGCCTAAATTAGAAGGGGCTATATTCCCTCTTGGGGAGTATAAATGTGTCCCTAAATCAGGGCCATCTGACTAGTGGCATGTGGGCCACATCTGGCCCACAGCTCCTGCCCAGCTGCTGCTCCTGCCCATTGGGCCTGCTGCTGTGGTGGCTGGGGTTTCTGGGCAGAGCAGCATAGCAGGAGGAGCCTGGTGAGCTTGCTGCCTACCTGCATGGCAAAGCTGAAGGGGAGGCTTATGCTGCCCACACCACAGTGAGTGTGGGTTATCACTGCCCACATGTTGGCAAGATGGGTTTTGCACAATGGGGTTCCGAGCCCATGTGGCCTCTCCCCCAACAGCTGCTCTTAAGTTGGACAGTCCTATGCTAAATAAACCTTTATACCCAGCAAATTTGTTTTGTATACGCTACTGACAGTGAGGGCTCTGGACCTTTTTTTCTGCTGGATTGTACTCAAAGTATCTTTGACATGTCCACTGTGACCTCATGAGGTAGCTGTTTGATGGATTAACACTAAGTAGAGTTTGTATTTTACATCTGTGTGGTAGAACACAAGATTCTGGAGTTTGGAAATGAGTGAGAAACAGAAATAAGATGGAAAGCTTGCCTGTGCTATCACTGAAAGTTATCTATTTTGCTTCCTCCTTAGTGCAAAACAGCTGGTTCGTGGAGAGCCTAATGTCTCTTACATCTGCTCTCGGTACTACAGGGCACCAGAGTTGATCTTTGGAGCCACCGATTATACCTCCAGTATAGGTACGTATGAATACCTTTGGGTGTATTGAACTGCTGTATTGATTGTATAGCTTTTGATCACATTTTGACAATGCTGTACATCTGTTCTGTCCTCAAACAGCTTAGAGATATGACCTGGTTGTGGGTTGGGCATAGTCCCTGCATGAAAACCATCTAACTTCATTTTTCTCAAGATTTTCTAGCATCTGGACTTGAACTTCAGAGTGGGTTGGGTCAGTCAGGGTTATTCTGTTTTGGCTAAAACTTAAACATCAAACGCATTGTTTTCCAGCTCTCCAAATAATTTCCCTGCATAGCTTGAGAGTAGGCACAGGAGATTTGTAACTAAGGCATTTTTGATATTTCTAAATTCCTACTTTAATGGTTGTTTTAAAGTGTCACCTCAAATACTGCTGCAAAAGAGAGAGAAAAAAGTACATGCACACATGCGCGCACACGCACATAATTTTCCAGCTTTTTGTTTCCTTTACCTGTGTTAATTCTTTTTAATAGGAATGCAAAAGGATTGAGTGGTTGCTTGTAGCAGTCTCTTGGCAAAACTATAGGCAAGGATTTGCATACTTTGTGGGATGTTTAACTATGAAAATGATTAATATAGTCCATACTGTAGCCTCTAGTGTTTATTTAGACATTAAATTTGGCTTATTTTGTGCTGCCCTCATACTTACTGTTTTAATTTTTTTAATAGATTATGCACAACTATATCCTAGACTTGTTAGGGAAACAAGGTTTTGGAATGGGTAGGTCACTTGGGGCTGCTTATACCTTTGGCGAAATAGGAGGTGCAGGAGCTGAAACAGTACAATATTGGAAATTTCTGTAGTTCCTAAATTGAAGACTACAGCAAGAGCCCATATACAGGCCAGTATTAGGGGGAATCAGATCTCCAGTTTTGTGCTTCTTCATCTGGTACAGCATCTGGCTCAACTGCTTATGAGTGTTTAACTTTGCCTATGGGCCTCATCTAGACTAGGAAAAAAAGTGGTTTTTTTTTTAAAAGCGTTAGCATATTTTAGCAAGTTTCTAAATACTGCTTAGTGCAGGCAGGATTTAGCAGTGTTTTAGTAAATTCAGAAATGCTAGGAAGCCATGGGCAAGTTGGGGAAGAGAGACTATAAGTGACTGTAATGCAGGGGCAGGGAATTATTTTGGGCAGAGGGCCACTTACCGGGTTTTGGCAAGCTGTTGAGGGCTGCATAGGGAGCCCTGCCCCCTGGTTGCCATATTGGGACCGGAAGTCCCACCCCTTAACCCTTGACCTTTGCCACCAGAAGTCCTTCCCATTTCCCCCCAGAATTACTCTTTTCAGCAAGGGGTTTTGCCAGTTCTGGACCAGAAAAACACGAATTTATATTTTAAAAATCAAACATGTACCACAACATTCATTAATTTCACGTCAAAAATATTTTTGTCCTGATTTGCATGCGTTTGTGTAGTGTACATGGAGATGATGGCACAATAGCTTAAGTCTTGCTCTTGTATATTATGGGGGGGTGGGGGTGGGCATAGGTTTGTGGGTGGGGTGTGTGTGGGTGGACGGGTGGGATGTATGTGGTTGTGTGTGGGATTTGTGAGGGGTAGATAGGTGGGGTGCAGGTGGGTATGGGTTTTGTGGAGGGCTGTGAGTGTGAGAGAGGAGGGTGGCTGGGGAGGGTTGTGACTTTTGTGGAGCGGGGAGGGTTTGCCCACAACCTGCTTCCTGTGGCAGGCAGAGCCCCCGTCAGCACTCCTGCAAGCCCGGGCTCTATGCACTCCTGGCCTGGCACGGGCCCCGTGCACGCACTCGCTACCACTGCTGCCCTTCTCCTGCTACTTCTCACCACCCCCGCCACTTCAGCACCATGTCCCAGTGCTGCAGCTGGGAACCACATGATGCTGGAGTGCGGCATGCGAGGAAATGGCTGTAGCAGGCTGAGGGAAGGGGCTGTGAACAGGTGCACAGAGTGCAGCAACAGCTGAGCGGGAGCACAGGGCCCATGTGGGTGCACTGGGTCCAGCGCTGGTGGGGCCCAGAGCAGGGCAGCAGGAGTACGGGACCCTGGGCTGTGATGCTGAAGCAGGGAGAGGAGGGAGCCAGCCCAGCTTAATAAAGCCCCTACCAGCCCAGGCTCCATGCTCCTGCCCTGGTGCACCCACAGGCCCCATGCTGTCACCCAGCTGTCACTGTTCCACGTACCTGCTCACTGCACCTTCCCCCTGCCTGCTGCAGCCATTTCCTTGCCTGCTGTGCACAAGCATCATGTGGTTCCTACCAGCAGTGCTAGGACTGCAGGAGCCAGCCCGGCCGGCCCCGAGGTTTGGGGCCATCGCCCACAGTCCTCCCCTCCCTTCCCCTCTCCTCCCCTCCTTCTTATCTGTATTTCCCTTGGCACTAGGAGGTAGGAACAGTCCCAGGCCAGAAGCCTCCAGCAACCCCTGCTAGGCAAAGGCTTCTGGCTGGGGCTTGGGGTGGGGGTGGGGGCTGGAGTGGGGTGGGGCAGGGCCAGACTTGCTGCAGCAGCTCTTTAGTTCTGCCTCTGGCTCCCTATGGGTCCTACTGCCCCTGTCTCCTGTCATCTTTGACAGGCAGCCAGGGGCAGATAAATACTAATTTTCTAAAATTTTGAGAGGCCCCACGGGCTGAATAGAATGGCCTGGTTGGCTGGATTTGGCCCATGGATTGTATCTTGCCTGCCCATGCTATAACCAGTTGATATGTTCAGCCTGTGCTTACTATGTGGTGGTCAGAAACTTACTAATTTAAGTATGGTAACAGTTACTAATGTGTAGAAAACATTTTCCTGGTCTCAGTGAAACACAGATGCTTCAGCTCTGTCTTTGCAGCCTCTGGTGCATGCCCAGGAAGTGTCACTGAGAGAGAAGTCCTATCTACCTGTGCTTATTTTGTGCATGCCTGAGCCTGCAAATTAGGCATGCGTCAGCAGACAGTACAGGCATGCGTCTAAATGGCCTTGAGTGCATGCCCCCAGCTCTTCTCCACTTCCGCAGAACCTGAGTGCAGTGCTGCAGCGCTACCAAGACCAGACCGCCTTTATAGTTAAGGGTGCAAAACATATCTCGTTCCAGCTCTCTTTCCACATGACAAGGCTTTTTCTAAACGATCACACACCAGCCCAGAGAGGTTTCTTTAAATGTAGGAATGTTTTTTCAGTTCCTTTTTTTTCTGATGCAATTGAAGTGTTACAATACTTCCTGGCATAGGTAGAAACCCATAACCATGGAAGCTGGGACAGAATGTGGAGTTCAGTCTGCCATCAGAACCGTGACTCTTCTGGTTTTTAACTGTTAGCTTAATGTTGTATTAAAGCCACTAAAATAGGTCAATTGCTCATAGCCAGAGCATGTTAAAAGAGTAATTTTTATCCAAGGTTATCCCTGAGGCATCAGCTGTTTGTGAGCTATAGTAGTACCACAGGGGGCTGCTCTAGTAATATGCTGTAATATAGTCGCCATGAGAACGACCCCAAGGCCAGATGTGTTTCAAACCACTGCTGCAGTGCTGCATGTGAATCGATGCATAAATGGCATGTGCCTCCAGGAGCTGGGGTGGGGCATGGCGGTGCTGGGGGGAGGGGGCGACCACCCCCAGGCACTGCTGGCAGCAGCAGCCAGGGGCGATCGTGGACCGCCCGCAGACGCTGCCGGTGGGGTGGCGAGTGGTGATTCAGGGGCGCCTTTTTGCAGGGTGTGCACCACCGCACTCAAGGGGTGCACATGCACCCCCTATGCATCACCCCTGAATTGATGCATGAAAACCCAAATGTACAGTGACTCTGCAATGGCATGGAAGTAACCATCCAGCTGGAGTGCATCATACTCCTTTGCGCTATTAGTCATGTTCTGTGCTGTAGCCAACAAATGATTTGAGCCTGGTTGTCTTCAGTATAGTTTGCAGACTACCTGCTAATTACTGAATGCATCGTTGTAACTGACATGAG